TTTTCAAGATATCGATGCGATTGTAACAACAGTTTCTAAGTTTCTCCCACAAAAAAATCATAGTCATGGAATCATCAAATCGTTTAGGTTGGAAAAGACCTTTAAGATCATCCAGTCGAACCATTAACCTACACTACCAAGTCCACCGCTAAACCAGTTAAGGGGAGAGTCATAATTCATTTAGTGTTTCCTGGCTTGCTGGCTGGATTATTTTTTAATGAGTAAAGCTAGGAGTCATTGAGGTTGGAAAGGATGTCTAGGATCAAATAATAAGTGAAAGTTATTCACCAATACTGAAGAGAAGGTTACAACACTTTCAGCAACTTCACAGCCGCATCCAGCAAGTCCTTCCCGCGTCCGCTGTCGTGCTGTTACAGAACACCCTATCCATGCATTGCTGCTCAGTGAGCTCTGAAAGAAAGAACAATCGGTTTGGGTAATAAAAACGACATCCGAAAAGACAGAAGCTGTGATTTATTTTGGGAGATTGAGTAGAGTGGCAAGCAGCACTTTAAAGGTCACTTGTCTCAAATAAACCTTATCTCTCTCTCAAATTTAAAGAGAGATTGCAGTGTTTCCTTGCATCTAACCTGCATTAAATGTCCTTTACAAGAACATATTGCCGAGCCCAGCAGGAGCGTCGTACATGCCCGTGTGCTGTATGGGTGATGAAAATGAATGGGAGTGCTGGCAGGGGGAATGAAGATCAGTTATAAGTGATTAACGAGTGGATCAGAAACACTCCTTTGGGAAGGCTGGTGGTTTTTTGAGTTGGTCTTCAATGTGTGTTTGTGAAAATGGCATGCAGACTACCTACCCAACTTTTTTTTTATTTTGAGCGCCGTGTCTTGCTCCAGCAGTACTTCTCAACCTGGGTATGCAGAACAGCCTTCATCCCAAGAATCTCAAAATTTAAACTAAATTAGAGAAGAAAAACTGTACGTGGCAGTGTGTATCTGCATGTGTGTCGCTGTCTTTGAGCCAGAACGGGCTTCAATAGCACCAGTTTTTGGTTGAGAGCAGGCATCTGCCCTTCTTCCCCTGGGAAACCCTGCAGAATCGGTTCTGCTCTTGGTCCTGCTCATTCTCTTCCTGGAGCCATTTTGCAAGTTTGAAAATCATTGTGAATCTGGAGAGCAGGGAGCTTAAATGAGATTTCCTTGTGTCTGTGTTATCACAGTCAGCATGGGACTTGCTCGCGGATGGGAAGAAATCGGATTGAAGCTGGACTTGGAGCCGGTTGCTGGAATGGGGAGGTTATAAAGATGAGGACAGGCTGAGGAGTTTGCAGCAAGACTGTGCTCTTGTTAAGCTAGGGGTAATGAGTCCATATGGGTTGATTTGTTCCGTAATTTCCTAAAACACCCGGATTTTTCAGTTACGCTGACCTCCCGCGTATCGGTGCCTGCCAGCAGCCTTGCCCAGCGATTTGCTAGCAAGTACCGGGTTGCTGCTGGCCGTCGTCCTCCCTGGCAAAGGATGCGCTGACCTTGCTCGTCCGTGCCTTTATCGTTTCCGCGCGGACGACGGCACTGCGGCGCGCTTGCAGAGGAGCCGGCTGACGCGCAAGACT